GCTTTTGCAAGAGGCCCTAATCTGAGGCTTCATTCATAGTAAGCACCCAATAAGTCTTTTCTCGGCCACTGGATTGCTTTAAGTACACGTCTCTATCCGCCTATCGTCCAACAGGTGCTGTGTATGCCCCCAGGGCCAGCTGCACAGGACGAATCAGTGAATAGGCAAGAAGCCCTGCCTCACTGGAGCAGAATTTGTGGGTACATAACAAACGAGAGGTCAGTCCCACGGGAGCTCTACTTGTAGAGTCAGACAGCTGGGTTCAAACCCCATTCCACCACTGATAGCTGTGTGACCTTTCTAATCTGTAACATAGGGATAGTATGGTTAACCTCATAGGGTTGTCATGAGAAGTAGATGAAATGATGGATGTAGAGGACCTGGGTACATGTACGCATGTGCCTATGTGCACACAGACGCCGCGCACGCACGCACACACACACACACACACACACACACACACACACACAGTAGTTATTATTGTCAGTGTGGTCCCAGTTGGAGCCATGGCGCTGTTAGATCTCAGACGTCATTTAAGGGAGCTCATGAGGCACGCTGACGAAATCGTCTGGACTTTTCAGGGCAGAGCCCAGCTGCTGAGGGCAAAGTTTGATCCTCAGAAATAAGCGGGAGGGCGTGTTTCTGCTGCTGCCACCATCCCAGGCTGCATCCCAGGCTGCGCGGCCCCGGAGGAGTGGCTCCGCTCCACAGCCCTCACTGCAAGCCTGCCTCTGACACAGCTCAAGGCAAAGGGGAGGGCGGGACAGCCGTTACCTCTCCAGAACCTGCAGTTTTCCCCCTTCACAGAATAATTTCACTTCTGGTAAATTTTACTAACTGCAAACTTGTCTTCATTTGAGGTATGTGTATATTTCAACTGGTTCCTTGTAGTTATACCTTTTTTAAAAAAAAAAAAAAAGTAATGAACTGTTTTCTTTCTTCCCTGAAAACATGAGGCTGACATCAGAGAACAATTTTTGATCCCAGTTTTAAAAACAGACTGGGTGGTTTAGAGATGGTGGGGCTCCCAGGCTGGGGGTTGGCTCTCTTTCCCTCAGTTTCATTGGAAACAATTTCTTCAGTGAGCCCACAGCTCAGGGGCACAGCGCACTCTGGATTATTGAAAGTTTAGAAACATTTAGCTGATTATGGTAAATAATTCACGCAAATCCTGACAAATGCAATCTATTCTTTCGTGCAAGCTCAAGGAAGAGCAGAAACCTGCTGCCCTTTCCTCTCTTGACTTCCCAATCCTTTTAGCGACATCTAGTGGACGATCTCCGCTAAACACAGGATTGGCTTCTAAGGTGTTCCTTCTCCAGAGCGAAGGAAATGAACGCCATTTACCTAGAAGCCATTTACAAGTTACTCAATCTCTGGCAGCCTCGGTGTTCTCAGCTGTAAAATGGCTCTAACAAAAGGACCCTGCCCTACAGAGTTATCACAAGGAAGAATGAATGGTGCCCACAAGAGACTCAACACAGTGCCAGGCGCACAATAAATCATCAGTATCACAAACTCACAGTAACCATGACCTACTTCTCATCACCCTACACGCTGCAGATTCTACCTGCAGAAACAACACTCTTGGGTGAATAGCTACTCGGTATGGTTTGTCCAGGCAGACAGTTGGCTAATATTATTTATGGAGTGAATTCATTTTTAAGATGCATCTTCTTTTTCTTCTCACTGTTTTTGTTTTTATTTTCATATTGGAGTATAGTTGGCTTACAATGTTGTGTTAGTTTCAGGTGTACAGCAAAGTGATTCAGTTATACATATACACGTATCTATTCTTTTTCAGATTCTTTTCCCATTTAAGTTATTAGAGAATACTGAGTATAGTTCCCTGTGCTATACAGTAGGTCCTTTTTGATTATCTATCTTATATATAGTAGCGTGTATATGTTAATCCCAAGATGCATCTTCTTGAAAAGGCAATGATAAACTTTCTCTCTTTTTGCCAAAATCTAATCAATAAGTAGGAATATGTCATCTATACCCAGTAAAGATCTTGGGGAAAAAATGTAAAAGTTTTAATAACACCTTACGTTTAGGAAAAATTTGAAAAATCTTTCAGGTTTGAGTGAGAAGTAGCTGCTTTTAAACTGAAAAGATTGGTTGTGTGATGGCTTAGGAATTCTATTTTGATTTCATTAAGCACAGTTTGGAAAGGAAAAACGATCCTTTACACTCATCCGTGATGTGCAGTGTGCTGCGTATTTCCTCCTGGGTAAAGTCTGCTTTAGAATCAGGCACATTTCTTTTTAAAGCGACAAGAGCAGTCTTCTGTGCATTTTAGGCAAATTTAGATTAAGGTGAAAGTAACTTCTAAAGCAAATAATGTCTGCATTTTGCTAACAAGTTTAATTTTTATTTACTTTTGGCTGCGTTGGGTCTTCGTTGCCACGCGGGGTTTCTCTACTTGCAGCAAGCGGGCTACTCTTCGTTGAGGTGTGTGCACTTCTCATTATGGTGGCTTCTCTTGTTGCGGAGCACGGGCTCTAGGGAGCGTGGGCTTCAGTAGCTGTGGCATGCAGGCTCAGTAGTTGTGGCACACGGGCTTAGTTGCTCTGCGGCATGTGGGATCTTCCCGGACCAGGGATCGAACCCGTGTCCCCTGCATCGGCAGGTGGCTTCTTAACCACTGCGCCACCAGGGAAGTCCATGCTAAGAAGTTTAGGTAACCGGAGTTAAGCTACTCTGGTGCAGCTGGGATCATCCCTAAACACCCACAGCTGCGAGAAGGCATGTAAAGGTGACAGCATGTCTTGGGGGCCTTGGTGGTGGCACCTTGCCTTTGGAAAGCTCCTGGCGACAGGGGCCTCATCCTGTAGGGACAACAGACCCAACAAAGCCCCAGCAGAGGGCTCAAGCCTTCTGTAGCCCCATCTGGCAAGTGGCCCAGGGGCTCTGGGTCCAGCCATGAGCCAGAGAGATCGTTGGGAGGGGGCAGATAGCAGGAGAGAGCTGGGCTAGAGATCTGGGCTGGAGTACCAGCCGCCCACTTGCCACCCACATGGCTTTTGGTACATCTGCTTCCTCATCCATGAAATGGGGATCAGGGCCTGAAGATGCTCTCCCCACCCCAGGGGGTGCAATGGCCACTGTGGTGCTTCCTGGAGGTGGGCTGCCCCACCCAAGGTGCCCCATCCTGTGATGAGAGAAACTGACTTAGGACTCGAGGGCACAATAACTTGGAACACGCCAGTCACAACAGTTTAACATTTTACTAAATCAATTCACACGAATTCCAAATTGCAAATATAATTAAGGACAACAGATTCTGTTCTGCCTTTTAACTCTTTCATTTTCAAATCCATCATTAAGACAAAGAGTAAACAAAAATTAAGTCTGCTGCAGATTCATGATTTTTCTTCTTGAGGGGAAAAAAAAGAACATTATAGTAAAAAGAATGCCACTGGGTGTACAATAAAGCACCACGACACATGGTTACAAAATGGGCTTCCTGGACTCTGCCCCACGTAGAAGACACTGCTCTCCCCGCTGCTCTGCGTCAAGCAGGATTTCATTAAAATAAAACTATAAAATCTCCTAGGTTACACTAAAGTCAGACACGGTCTGGAACACAGTGCTTAACAACAGTAATGTCAACTATCAGTGCTAACGTAAAAACATTTTAGAAGGTCAAAAACAATTAAAGTGGAAACCAAAACCTTATTTTCCCTAGATGAGCAAAACTGAAAAAAATGAAAGGGTTCCCGCCTCCCACTAGGAGTGGAGGGAATCTTTTTTTTTTTTTTCCTTTTCTTTCTTTCAAATTGGAGGCGGGGGCACGGTGCGGGCTGGTTCTGCAGTTCCTCAGCCTAGTTGGCGTCCAGCTTGGCCATTTCCTGCACGTAGATGCCTATACTCTCGCTGTCAAAAAGCACAAAATACACCGTTTTGATGGAAGAGGACATTGTTGACACGAAGTAACTGGAGATGGCCTTCAGGATCAGCTGAGCTGCCGTCTGCTTCGGAAAACCGTTCCTGCAAGAGAGAGAACGACGGCTCAGCAACTAGGGGGCCATGGCGGCCACAGGACCCCCTCCCTGGCCACATCCTCCCTCCGCGAGCCCCTCGAGGCCCTCTGTGCTGCAGTGGCCTCGTGTTGGGTCAGGGTCCACAAGTGGCACTCGACCTCTGGCTGCCTGTACACAGGCGTGAGACAGCCCAGTGCCACCAGACAGGGGAAGAATGAGTAGACAGAGAACTATGGCCCGCAGGAGAATGTGCTGTGCTCTGAGAGGCAGCATGCCAGCAAGGCGACAGAATCTGTGTTTCGCGGCGTGTGGGCTGAGTGTAGTCTCCCGCAGGCAGTGTGAGCGCCCACGGTTCTTTTCCCAACGTCACCGGGACCAGCATGGGCCTTGAGACACAGCCCAGGCTCCCAAAGTTCCCCCGGGGGTCTCAGCCTCAGGGACGGCTGGAGGCTGGAGCTTCTCCAGAAAGCACGAGCCTCCATTCACGCTAGTAGAGGGTTACATCCTTCACACTAGCCTTCAGATTTCATGGGCGGCAGGAATCCACCTCCCGGCACACACCAGCTTGGACACCCCATAGGCCCAGGCCTTGGGGAGCTGCGTGCAGGTCGTTACCCTGGGACAAGTAGGCTCTTCATCTCAAGGGACAGCATCCCAGTCTCCAAGCCAAACTGGTGTGAATTCCCATACAATTCCATTTAAAGTAAACATCACGTGGCAATTCTGGAGGCAGGGGCTCAGAGCTCAGGCAAGAATGTGAAAGCAGGACTAGGAGGACGGGCGCTCCTCGCTCTGTGTGTGCTGGGGCTGTTCCTGGTCAACGCTGCAGGTGCAGGAGGACCCAGGAGGACCATGGCAGCAATGTGTCAACTTGCCTAGTCTGGGGGAAATAACGTGGACTTTGGAGCCAGTGGCCCTGGATTCAAATCCCTACTGACCCCGGTTTACAGTCCAGGATACTGAGGGTGAGAGTGAGGGGCTGGTCTCCATGGGGATTTCTTTGTTCCTAAGCAGATCATCTTCAGTCTGCCCGGAGCCTGCGGGTCCAGTGGAGTCCGAAGTGCTGGGTCAACCTGCCAGTTTCGGCCGGGGCTTTCCTTCGGATGGGGTACCTGCTGCCAGGTGAGAGGTTTTCAAATGTGTCAGGTGCGGGATTTCTCCTAGGCTCACTCGCTAAGTGCCATGAGTTGTGGACCACCTCAGCGGCTTCTTCTGGAGGGTCACACTTATTCTATTGTCAGCACTCAGGGCTTTTCAGAGCCTTTCAGAGCCAAGGAGAAAACCATTCTTGCGACTTGTTTTTGATCAAACAGGGCTTCACCCAGCTTGACAGTGGACCCCTAGCAACTCGTGGATGCTTTAGAAGTGAAGTTCCTTTTTAGAGGACCAGGGTGTCACCCCAGGCCCGTTCCCAGCCTGTGCAGAGGAGCCTGCAGGCAGTAGTAGGGTGTGACCTAGAGTTGGGGCCCCTCACGTGCAGGTGCCTCCCCCACCCCCAGGCACAAGGCACTCCTGCCTGGCAGCCAGCACACACGAGCGTGTGAACCAGACCAGGGTCAGAGTCTGAGAGAGAGCTGCAGGGGCGCTCCGGCCAGGCCAGGGCTGCCGGACAGGTGGCTTCCTCCTGAGGAGACCCTGGGGCTCCGACCACCAGCAGAGTTGGGGGGACCAAAAGGCGGGCTGGGATGGAGGGTGGTGGGAAGAGGGGCTGTGCTGGAAGTGGGGAGGGTGGGGACCCCGCGTGGCAGGTGATACCCCTCGCACCCTTCCCCACTTGGGGCCTGCAGGCTCAGTCTGGGAAGAAGCTGTCCTCACAACACCTGGCTCGGCCGCCTTGACTATATTCACAGGAGTCGAGGAGCTACACTGTCCGGAACAAGACACGCGCTGGCAAGCGCTGGATGGAGTGAACCCGACCTTCTGCTTTGAGGGCCTCTCCGCAGTGAGTGTGTCGTGGGGCACCCAGCTCGCACCCTTATAGGGGCCGCCCTTCCTCCAAGCAACCCCACTCCTGAGGCAGGGGCCAGGCCAGCCGTGGTGGAGCGCAGGCACAGGGTCACGCGAATGAGGGCCCATTTTAAACATCTCACAAAGAGCAAGTGTTTATTCTCCTGCTGTAAATACAGGAGCTGCCCTAAGGACTCATTTCGTTCCTGGTGAGGAAAGCCTGAGGCAGCGGCAGCCCCTGGGCAGACAGGCGGGAGTGGGGAGGGCTGCGAGGCTACGGCAGGACAGCGGGGCCCGGCCCGCCACTGGAAGCAGCCTGAGCTCAGGCCAGGGACTCTGAGGGCCGCTGCCCCAGGCAGAGCTCGGCCTGTGGGCACGACCTGGCTAGGCGGAGGCTGAGAGAACTGCAAAGAGTTGCCTCTGCACTGGAAGCCCGAGACCACGCTCCACCAGCCCCAAGCTCCCCCACTAAGGGTGCCCTCCTGCACGTCGCAGGTGAGCTGGGCCGAGGTAAGGGCCTGTGGAACTTCCCTGAAGAACAAGCTGTCTGTCGTGTGGCCTGATGGTCACAGCCCATCTCCTCTGGTGTTTGCCCAGCCTGAGCTGACCCTGGCCTGGGCTTCGTGAGCTGCCCTTATGCCACCCTGCGGCCGCTCTGCCCGAGCCAGGGGAGATGTGGTGCGGTGCAGAGACGCAGGGTGTGGCCGCAGGGCCTCCCTGGAGCACCCGCAGCAGGCCGGTCACTCCGCCTATGCCCAGCGTTTTCTGACACGGACCTTCTCCCACAGCTTTCTATGCCTCTGCCTTGGACCCTTGAAAAGGGATGTGTGACTCTGACCGAAGGGACATCAGTTCCTGTTCCTCTACATCAACAGTTCTCAACATTAGCCTCTGTCAGGATTACGGAGGGCCGGCCAAGACGCAGGCTGCCAGGCTCCGCCCAGGAAATCAGATGAGGTGAGCCTGGGGACCATGCTTTGAGATCCACTGTTCTACACGCACTCAGGGTGGGCCCAAAGGTTAAGAACCTGCATTGGGAAGAAAGGTCGGGATCAAAGGTCACAGACCTGCAGCCCATGCCTGGATGCCCTACTGTTAAGGGAGCTTGGGCTGGTCTGGCCTTGTCCTTCAAGGTTGCTGTTGGGTGAACTGTGAATATGATTTGTTTCCAGGAAAACCTCTTGTTGACAAACCCATCCCTCTGTCTGAGGCACTCACAGCCTAAAGGAGAGACCCAGCCATGGGACTATGGCCCCTCTGGACCACACAAGCCGCCAGGAAGGAATGGAAGAGGTGATGGCTTTCCTGACGTTTCCAGGTGGGTCCCAAAAATGTTTTCTAGTAGGCACAGTTAGAAGTATTTGTAATGAAATGGAATGTAGAAGTGGATGCTTTCACAAGCGTGCTTTACATGCAGAGGCCCTGCACCCTCAAAACAGGGGCAGCTGTGGCACACGCAGTGGCCTGGAGCCACACGGGATTTGCGTCTGGGCCCTGTCTCTGTGCCTTGTTGCCCCACCTGGTGAAATGGGGTAGGTAATCAAGTATTTATTACCTGGGGAGGCTGTGTGTATCGAACAAAATACTGTACAGAGAGCCCTCAATCGACAGTGTCATCTCTAAAGGGGGTAGTCTCGAAGGGTCTTTCTAAAGGCCCACACAGTGGAAAATGGCCTTCCCAACCCGACCCCATGATAGCTGGGACTGGGTGACTGCTGCTATCTTTGCTGCTTCCCTGTGCTGACAAAGTCAGCATCAGGGCCCCAGAGGGCTGCTGCCCGGGTCTGAGATGTCCCGTTCTCTTGGAGGGCCACGGGCACGCTGCGGCGTGGCAGGGGCTCCGTCGGGGTCCCCTGGTGCAGTACTGAGCAGCTTGAGGACAGTGGCTTGCCTACGCATCTCACTCATCGTGTGGCTTCCTGGCTGGCTGGCTGGCTGGGTTCTTTTGTCGAATAACCACAGCCCTTCTGGCCAGGTCTTGTGCCGTCCTCCCCAGCTCAGGCTTACTGCTTCTGTGACGGTCACTCTGTTCTACCGCTGTACCGCCTTCTGGATGAGACCAGATGGCCCCTCCTCAAGGCGCATTAGAGCAAGGGCAGGTAAGGGCTTCTGCACTCCAGTCAGATTCCAGTTTCAATCTTAGCTGCCCTCGGGAGCAGGCGTTCACCTCTCTTGGCATTAGTTTTCTCCACTGGAAACTAGGTACTGCTTGGCGATGGCAGTGACGACAGTGGTGGTGATGCAGATGCGGCTCCCCGTGAGATGGGTGCCCCTCCTGTTCCCATTCGGCTCCTGACCCTGCCAGCTGTGCTCACGCCAAATGTCTTAAGTTCCCCTGCGGCCAAGCGCTTCCCACCCCACATGGAGTTTATCTTAGACTTAGACCTTTTTTATTGCCTTGACCCGACTAAGGAGGTGTCTGAGCTTCCCCCTGAAGTCGCTCCAGCTGTGTCTGCAACAGCCTTTCCCAAGTGTCTCAGACCTGTTTCCCTGGCTGTTGCAAGGGGACCCCATGGGCTACCTCCCACCTGGTGCCCTCCTGGGTCACCTGCTCAGTGATGGCCGGGGGCTGTACACATTGGTTGCTTGTCCACTGTCCCATCTGATGGCAGAGACGTGCGTTCACAGGGCCACAACACAGAAGAGGATTTGCTCCCTCCAGCTGTGCCGGGCCCCTCCTCATCCCTGCTCCGGGTGAGCTCAGCCTCCAGGGCGGGACAGGGCAGATGCTAAGGACTCCAGGCCGGGGGCTGTGCTGAGCCGGCTGATCAGGGACCCGGAGATTGCCGTGAGGAGAGGCTGTGTCCTGGGGGTTGGAAAGCGCGGATGGATCCTCTGGAGGAGCAAGTTTAGGAGCCTGACCCTGAAGGCTAACTAGGAGTTAAAGCAGATTCTAGATGGACTCTGCTGTTTTTTTGCTGGACCAGGCCACCTGTCTAATGGTCTGGGCTGTTTGGGAGATGGACAGGGCAGGGCGTCTTGGCAGCCTGGGCGACGTGGGCAAAATGTCTGTCACCCCACGTGGACCCTCCTCTGCTGGGATCAGGTTTCCCGCACACTGTGCTCCTGGGCGTTCCTGTGTTCTGTCTGGCTTTGAGTAACTGCCCAGCCAGAGACTACCCCATCCAGAGGTAAAGGGCAGGCTATCAAGGTCCTGAGCTGAGAGCAGTGGGTTATAAGAGGGTGAAGCTAAAATTCAGAAGGGGATGGTGATGGGCCCAATGCCTCCAAAGCTAGGGAGAGGCCAGGGCAGCACGACCCAACAGAGGCCTCTTACCTTCGCTCACTCCAGGGCTCACGTGTTTTGGGTTAGTAAGTAATTCTCCCCAATTCAGTTTGTCTCTGTCCTTTATATTTGTCTTCTGAGGCCCACACCGAGGGGGTAGGGAGGCTGACAGCTCTGCCTGGGCAGGTCAGGGAATTCCAAGAGGTGTTTCCAAGGTTCTCTAGAATCCACTCACACAGAGAGCGCAGAGGCAGTGGGGTGATCCTCTGGCAGGATGCTCGGAGGTGGGTCTGTTGACCAAAGGGGACAGGAGGCAGGGGTTCCATGTGCCTAATACCGAGAGCACTGAGGCCAAGGACCTCTGAGCAAATTCTGGCTCTACCAAGTACACGCCGTGTGACCTCTGGTGAGTGACTTGACCCCTCTAAGCTTCTGTGTCTTTGCCTTTGAGTGGAATTAATAGTGCTGCTCACTTTGTGGGGTTGTGAGATACTGCAGACGAAGGGATTAGCACAGTGCCTGGGACTCAATGAATACCCACAAGTGGTAGCTTCAAGAAAACAAACTGGCTTTCCTTTTAGGCTCATAAATCTAAGGAGAGTTTAATCAAAGCCCCAAACTAGCTATTCCCCAAGTACTGCCTCTCCGGAGAGGGGTCGTCCCCTAATGTCAAACAGAGCGGAGGGAGTGGGGTATCCATCAATATTGTGACCAGGATGCCCAAGGACAGGAGGTCCGGATGCCAGAGGTGGTTTCCCGAGGCCAGGGTTACACCCCAGGTCTCATTTGCCTCCAATGGGCTTTAAGGTTGGCCCCCAGTCTTGGGGGCCGATGGGCTGGAGGAAGGGAGCTGTAGGGCTGTGGTCATCGTCCACATGCCCAAGATGCCGGGCCTCAGCTGAGAGAAAGTGATCCCACAGCTCTTTACCAACATGTTTTGCGTTTATATTGTTTTAATTCCAACATGACTTTTATGCCAGAGACACTGGATGCCACAAACAAGCTGTTTTATTTCCCCTCCTAAACCCCACTGTGATTTACTGGCCAGCTCTGGTATAATCCCAGTCTTTGCTCATGAAAGAGAGGGCAGCTGTTTACACGGCTCTGTGGGGCAAGGTCTGCCCGACAGATGTGGGGCTGGGTGGCTATGCACATGTGCTTGACTTTGGCATTCCGCCCTCTTAAAAGCTTTCAACTGATTATTTTTTAAAACTTTTTACTCCGTGAAAAATGTAAATAAGTTTGTAATAACAGATGCTCTTTTATGGGCATGACTTTTATGCTTCAATTAAAAATTTCCCACTAGTCATATGAAAGAGCATGAAATTATTACCTCCAATAAAGGCTCCTGTTGCGTCTCTCCTCGGAAGCACCTTTCATCAGAGTAGATCAAAGTGCCTCCGAAACACTAATTAACTGAGCCTCAGAACCGTGTGTGAGGAAGGGCAGGCCCTTAGCCTCACTAGCTGATAAGGCAGCCCAGGGACAGAGAGGGTGATTCATTTACCAAAGGTCACACAGCAGCGCAGTGCTGAAGAACAGAACTTCCATGGGAGGTGGGGGGCTGGGAAGGTGGGAGAAGCAGGAAGTTAGCTAATTATGCTCAGATCCAAAAGCACTTTGTAAAAAAAAAAAAAAAAAAAAAAAAAAAAAGGTCTTGAATTGACTCTGGGACTGAATCGGGCACCTATACACCTCTCCACAGTTCCTGGGAAAGTTTAACCTGCTAGGTGCTTGCTGACCAGCTTATGAAGGATGCTCGTCTTCGCCAGGTGCTCTTAGAGCCGACCGAAAAAGGCTGTTAGATGCTCTAGCTCTGTCAGCTCTGCTTTCAACAGGCATTTAAATGGTATTGACTTTTAAAATGATGCTCAACAGATGCTTTTGGCAGAAGCGAATGGAATGAAGATGTATGGTGACGGGAAACATAGATGGCAGTCCAGAACAACAATCGTTGTCAGCTCTGGATGTCCCTGC